TTTTCTTTTCTTCTTTTTTCTTTTTTTTTTCTGTACCTTCTGAACTTTTTCCTTTTTCTTCTAGCTTAGTTTGTATTAGTTTCTACTATGTTTACTAAAAACTTCAATAAAATTATTAACCAAAACGAAATCTGTATTTGAAACTCTAGAGCACTATTCAGCTCAGGAGGAAAAAAAAACAGGCTGTGCTTGGATCCTTTCTGCTTCTGTTGCAGAAAATCGCAGAAGCCCTCCTGCCATCCAGTGGGTATACTTTCTGCCTGATTCAGATCTGCTTAAACACACACCCAGGGAATGGCATCCCACTCTTTCTCTCAGCAATTGGTTCCACAGCCAAACTGCTGTTACACTTGGGAAGTTTTTTGTGATAATCAGTTGAAATTCAGCCTGCCTGTCATTATTCTATGACCTGCACCCTGAAACAAAATGCCTTTTATTCTTTCAACTATTTGAGGGAACATGCCCAATTTCTTCCATCTCTCTTCATAGGCCTCACCTGGGCCCAGGTCATACTTGTTGCTCTTTCATGAACTTTTCCATTTCCTTTTGAATCCTTCTTAAAAATGTATTCAGAGCTGGATACTGTTTGACCCATTCAGAATAAAATAGGATGATTACTTCCCGGGATTTGGAAATTATACTTCTGTGGATGCAACTTAAAAGTGCATTTGCTTTCCTTACTTAACATCACACTATTGGCTTATATTCAAAGACAATACATGAGGAGTTGACAAGACTATCAGCTAATTCGTTCACTATGCTAGGATGCAATTCATCTGGTATGCAAGATTCATTCAGATAAGGAGATAGCCCTTGATCATGTCCATCTCAAATTTCATATCACTCCTTTGCCCTACTTTTTACAATTTGCTGGAAGAATGTGTATTTTTTTGGTGCAAAAGTAGTTCCGACTTTTCTTTGTTACCTGTTAGCATTATGCTGTCTCCAATGAGCAGCTGATATACTGATTCTTTTGTTTTCTTTCTGCTTTGAACCCATTCAAAGAAGCCCTTTGGTTTTTGTTAGCATCCTTCACTAACTTTAGTTCATTTCATTTTTGCTTTCCTGCCACTGGCTGTACAGTCCTGGACTATCTCTCTGTACTCTTTCTTCATAATGTGACCTTCTTTTAGTATCCTGCATGTGTCCTTTTTTTGTTGAAATATATAAGATGCTATTAATCCACAGAAAATAGCCCCCAAAGCTAAAATAGTCAGCTGTTTCATAATTAAAAGAAATTAGGGAAGCTCTATCAAAGAACAGCATTACATTTTTTTTCTCTGATCATACAGCCCTTTATGCAAAAGGGGCTACCTCCATATAGGCCTCTGGGCCTGAACTGGCAAGACTGAAAAGGCTTGTGCCTTGGGAATGGCAAGTAGACCTATCTAAGGCTATTAATAGTCATATGAAAAGTTTGCCTATAGCTGAATTAGAAATGCAATTTGATTTGTAAATCTAAGTCTACAATTTAGTTTAAATTCACAAGAACTGAAACTACAGTCTGTTTTAGATTAGTGTTAATTATATTTAACTATTAATCAGTGTTAATCTGTAAAAATTTACAGCTTCAAGTTGCTTAGAAGTTGCTTCAGTGTTCCCTCACTGCAGCTACCTAAGTGATTTAATAGGAACAATAATATAAACAACAATGATGTTCTTTTATTGCTGCAGGGTTAACATGCCTGTTAGTTTGTCAGTCACATTACAACATTGCGGAAGAGTGTTTTGACAATTATAAATTGAGGATTCCCTCTGCTGTGTTTTAGGTGGTTATTTACCTGCAGGTAGGAGAAATGCATTTGGCCATGCAAATGTCTGCTTGAAATGTGGAAGAGTACTTGTCATCGGTGAAGCTTAAAATATCTGTATACAATTCTTACATTTGCAGTTTTAATTCTGTGGTAGGAGATAATTTAACGCTTCATTGGAAGATGATTTTGTAGCTTTTTCTTGGATTCTACAGGGTTATATGAACATAGCATACTTAATTTGATCATTGGTCCACCTAGCCGTTTCTGAGCTTTCTTTTTCTACAGCTGACAACTGACCTTTCTTTAGCACAGCTCTTGTCTGCTTCGAATATTGCAATTGTCCCATTTAATTTTAGATGCCAGCGATAGCTGCATAGTTACACCATAGGGCTTGCTTATCAGATGATGATGTCTGAAGACAAGGCTACAAAACAGCTTCAAACTAAGGCTAAGCTAGTTGCTATCAATTTAGTCATTATTTTTAAAAGGGATGTAATGTATGTTGAGGAAGATTTACAGCCTGTCTAGATGTTAGTAGTCTCTCAATCAGTGTTTCTTAGGCATTGTTTCTCTTCTGTCATCTGCTATAGGTGAGCGTCCCTTTCACTGTAACCAATGTGGAGCTTCCTTCACCCAGAAGGGGAACCTACTGAGGCACATCAAATTACACTCTGGAGAAAAACCATTCAAATGTCCCTACTGTAGCTATGCCTGCCGGAGGAGGGATGCCCTCACAGGACACCTCAGGACACACTCTGGTGAGTCTCTTGCATTTCAGCTTTTAGCACTACTCCCAGACTGAAGCCAAGTCTGCACAGCAGTGTTCTTTCAATCTCTGCAAGTGGAGTGCTCTCACGTCAGTCCATCTGGATCTGTAAGGTCTCCATGGATTGACCGTGCAGGCTCCAGGGCAGCATCATTCCTAGCTCCATGCTCTGAAATTATTTCTAGGCACAGATGTCAGCAACTGAATCTTGTCATGCCGTGTGCTCTAACATTGAGATAGGTATCTTTCCACCATTAAAACTGTCTGCTGCCTGAAAAGACATGGTTATCTCTTATCTTCTAATTACTAGTGGTATTGATGAAATTGGATCAAAACTAAATTGGGAATTAAGTATTCTGGAAAATTTAGACTATCACCTGGAAAACCATGATAGCTTTCCCTAAATTCTCAGAACTATGAATGAGTGCCCTGTCAATGAGGATATATTTTTGTTTTACTCTTTTTATATTTGCATTTTCATAAGGTAGTTATATTTTAATAACTTAATTATATGAAATAAATCAGTATTAGGACAATAACTTTTTTAGGCCAAGATAATTTAAAAGGTCACAAAATAGTAAGCTGGTTTTCAATTTCCCCAGAATGCTGAACAATGTAATTTTGTAAACCAAGTTCATTTCCACTCCATCATTCCTACCTGCCAATTTCTCAAAAAACATTTGGGGTGGAAACCAATCCACAATTTATATATTTTGTTTTTATTTTTTGCAAAAATTCCCATCTGGGGTGCTTGCAGATATATGAAACAAAAATGTTGTGCAATTATCAGTCTTTTTCTGCTTAAATATTTTTTTTCATAGAAAGAAAAAAGAAAGAACAGTTCTGACATGGAAGGCTTACAAATTGATGATATTGTTGTCTGGAGCATTTGTAAAATTAAGTGAATGAATTAGGTTGGTTGCATGATGGAAGTCTTTCTGATAGCACCTTCAATACTTTATGAAGGAGTTAGAATGAATTCTGCTTTCTCTGACTATGGAAAATACTATCCTGTTCTGATGATACTCTGCCTTTGAATTTTTTCCTTACAATATCTTCAAGATACTCTCAGTTAATTTTACCCCATGTGAAGAGAAGTCTGTAAAAGTTACCAAATCTAGGGAGCTAGTTTTTGTGCTATAAGCTAAAGTTCAGTAACAATACTGAAATCAGCTCACTTCAGTCTCATAGTGAGTTGATTCATAGTGTTACTCATACTATTTCTTTAGTTGTTTATTTTTTGATAGATTAAACATACAAAAGCGCTTATATCAACAGACATATTTCAAGCTAGTATTTTGTTTGCCTTTTGCCTTTCAAGCTAACACTCTGCAAGTAAAGTTGGGAAGTTCTAAGAAAGTTGTGACTGATGTTAGTTTCAACAAGTAAAAGGGAACTAGGGCAACGGGTATGAAATTTGCATATCCAAGTTACCAAAATGAAGTAATTCATTCTTGGTTGTTTAGAACAAAACAAATGGATCCAGAATAACTTAAAATGCAAGGGGGTTAATGGGAGCTAAGGGGATAGAGACAAAACAAAAAACAAAACATAACTTCTCACCTTGTCCACAACCCATAAAAGTATAAAATGCATTATCTTTTTCTGCTTCTTTCTGTAATAAGCATATATCTTGGTTTCACCAATTTCAGTAAGTCTACTTATCAGCAACATTTTAAAGTGTAATCCCCCAGCCCAGTCAGTACCTCACTTGTATCCAAAAGTATCTATTTGGTGTAATACCATGCTACAGAGGTATGGTGGGATAGTATGGTTTTTTGAAGTTCCCTAGGCTTAACATTGGTAAATTAAAGTTCTTAAATGTAATCAAATAAAAAATAGGCATCAGTCCTGTACCTGTCCTAATGACACTCTTAAAGCTACCAGGAATCATATGATTTTGGCAGTATATTAATGAATTAATTAATTATCACGTGTTTTATTGTGCACAAAAAGCAATGAAGTTTTGTCCTGTGGGTTTCTTACTTTGGAAAAGTGCTTTCAATTTGATTACAAATATTTGACCACACTTCTGGTTAATGCATGGCCTTTCTCAACCTTATATCCCTGCTTTCTTTGCGATGGTGGATGGTTAAAACTGATATTAATACCAAAATTATACAAAAAGCTTCTTATTCTACATGTAAAAGAAGAAGAGATTTATATATTATAAGTAATTAAAATTGTGGTTTCCCCAATGCTAGATGGGTAGAGGAAACATGCAAATGTTTGTGGGAGGGAGTGACATATTTAAAGGATAGACTAAAATGCAAATAGTTTGTGGGAAAAATATAAATTTCAAGGAAAGAAAGTCTCAAAAGATTTCCTTGAGATGTAGACTTTAATTAAACATGATAAATGTTTAATGATAGTGATAATGACAGTGAAATGATAATGATAGACTTTAATTAAACAAAGATAGCTTTTAATTGAAGAAAAACAAACACCACTGGAAGTTGTAAAGAAACATACACCTAGTTTTAGAATACTTGTCTAGTTTAGGTACATGGTAATCATATTCCCTGAAGTGATTTGAAAATCGGTATGCCAGAGCCCAGGGTTGACTTCTTTCAAGCTCTTTTAAAATACTAACTTTTTAGAAAAGTCTTCCCAGCTGTTAACCCTCCAAGGTTTTTTCTTTTGGAATTCTTTCTCTTAATGAGAAAGCAGTATAAAAAACTTTAATAAATAAATGATATGACTTTACTAAACCAGCAGAACTCAAAAATATAAACCAACTATTAAAGAAACTTGGTATCATCCAGGAGATAAAATTATGACATTTCTGATCAGCTATTTTCAAGGATGCTAATTATAATAAAAATGAAACTTCCTGGGGATTATTTATGGATTATTGGTGCTCCTTGAAAATCTAATGGAAATGAAGGCATTTTAAAATGAACCAATACTGTCAGGAATATAGTTTGGCATTGCTATTGCTGCACATGGGGCCAGATGCAAGAAGGACAGGTTCTTCAAAGTGGGGATTTGACAGGCTTGAGGCAGCTTTTTTTTTCCACAGAAAATATGAAGACATTTGAGCTACAAGAGAGACAGAAATGAACTTCAGGAACTCTGAGACTAATTAATGGGAAATATGCTACCCTACAGCACAATAAGAAACTCACATAACAGCCTATGGGCATGAAACCTCATTTGTACTAAGAATGCTTTTTCCAGTGTGGCCTAGAAGTTCATAAATTCTAGTGTTTTAGTTAAATATATGGGGCAACATATAGAAAGGATTCCTTTAACTGTCTTTTAAAATCTTCTATTAAAGGTATCAAGGATAACTCACACAAATTTGTTTTGCATTTGTTTTATAGTCTTGGAGAACTTGTCATCTTTACTTCTATATGCACACATAACTGCACACAGACGACAACTCTTATCTCTTCCCTACTTTAGGGCCTAATAAGAAATTCTAGAATTAGGGTAATAGGAGTTCTATTTGCTATAGGTAAGACAGTCACATTTATTTTATTTACACATAATAAACAGGTTGTACTAGTGTCAAGTTGATTCTTAACATAAAATAGCTGTTAATTTTGCTACAGCGGAGTCAGGCATTCTCTCGCTCACGCTGGAGGTGGGGCTAGAAAGGATTCTGATGTTGGTTCCTGTGGGAAGAGATACTCCTTTCCCCAGTCCCAGTCCTGCCTTGCTTCAGAGGGCTTGCACAACTGTGAGCTCTTCCTCCCATACTTGTGGCCAGGACCACTTCAAGAGATCTTTATTTATTTTCCTTGCTTTTGTTTCTTTTTTCTCTGGCTTTTGCCTTCCTGTTTTGAACTTTCAGAGAACCAATGGCCAGCAAACAACAGACAGCAACACACTCCAAGAATCTTTCCAGTGATAGGAGTGAACAAGAGATTCAAACTTCAGTTATGCAACAATATACATCTCCTAGCCACAAATCCCCCTAGAAGGACATGATCAATGTTTGTGTCTTCTGACAGTGATAGTCTGCAATTGGCCCAGGACCTCCTATTACTTGGACACAAATGAGTCTGCCAAAATCCCAACCATGGAGTGTCCCAGCAATACTAAACCTGCTGCAAAGAGGGATTCAACTACCTGAATCCCAACTTATTATAACTACATATCTGGATATTGAGCAGGATCATCTCAACAGCTTAGGCGAAGATAGCAAAAGCATACAGATCATCACAGAACCCTAAAGAACCTCCTGAGCAGAACAGAGGAATTCTGAGTACAGTATTTGAAAATCTCCTTGAATTTCCTTTCAAGAGTCCCACCAGTGCCACTAAGCCTTCCCACCATGATCTCCAGGCCTTGGCCTGCATCAGACTATCCTGCAAGACTCAGAATAAGCTGGCTTCAAAGGGGATTGTTGCTCACTCCATGAGAAATGCAGCCAACTTGGCTGTCCTCAACACTGATGCCATTCTGGGGGACAAAGGTTATCATGTGTCTTCCATGTCTTTCTTTATAAACACTATCAAAATAACTCTTATGCCTCATCTGAAGCATCTTTCAGCATGAAGGTAATACAGAATATAGCTCACAGAAAGGGGTAGAGATACAATTTTACTCCCAAGGATAGCTCTGATATATCCTGATTCTGCTGTAGAAAAAGAATATATTGGACTTATCATGAAGATTATTTTCCTACCATGAATTCAGGTCATCCAGCCCATCCAAGTATTATCAGGAAAAAGTCTGAGATACTTCTCTAGGGCTCTATCAATATTGACATCTTGTATGGGGTTTAACGTATCTCACCTGTATTCCTACCTTCTCAAGTTCTAGTTCCCTGAGCAACCTGTCTGGCTTATCCTTCCATGATAAGGAAAGGAACTATTTACTTCCATAGGAACTGATGTCAGAATCCTTTCTTGCTCTACCTCTGCCTCTGAAACAAGTGGGAGGAAGGAGATGCCTACTTCCGAATGCACTCTCTCTGCTGTAAGAAAAGAACCTTCATGGTGATTCCAGTGTACCATTCTGCATCAGCTTCCAGAGCCCCTG